GTCGTCCTGTCTGCGACGTTAAAGAATTCTTGCGAAGTTTGGGGGATCTCCTTAAATGCCTCCTGATCAGCTCTTGGTTCTGTAGTGACAGCCTTAGAGTAGTCTTGGGTTAGTAGTGGCCATAGTTGACAGGGTCTTATCCTTGTCGTGCACCAACACCACGTGGTGAGGAGTGGGACCCTTGTCGTGCACCCTTGTCGTGCACCCTTGTCGTGCACCGGGTAGGGCTACGTGGTGAGGAGTGGGACCCTTGTCGTGCACCAACACCACGATGGACCCTTGTCGTGCACCAACACCACGATGGACGACTACCCGATGTATGGGTTGCTGGTTGGGTTCTCCCTCTGGGGGACCCTCTGGCGTCTCCTCTTTCCTCTCGGATTTTGGCATACCTTTGCGTGTAGAGTAGGGCCCACTCGAGGTGGTACCGCCACCCAACCATACACGAAGGAGGAGGAGGAGAARATGGCCGCCATCCTGCAGGAGAGGAAGGAGAAGAAGGAGGCCAAGAAGAAGGCCTTGAAAGAGGAACAGGCGGCCAAACTAAAGAAGATGGAAGAAGAGATGGCCAGGGAGAAAGACAGGTTGAAAAAGGAAGAAGAAGAGAAGCTGAAGGAGGTGGATGAAGAAGAGGAAGGACCACCACTGCAAAAGAGTGGGCAGCACAGCGGCAGCAGCAGTGATGAGATGGAGAAGAAGATTTCGGAGTGGGTCGCCAACTTATCCCTGGGTGAGCAGGAAGAGGTTGCTATGTACATCCCCAAGGATGAGCAAGAAGCCGCCATGAAGAAATGGGAAGCAGAAAAAGATGTTCTAACGCGGCGGGCGATGGAGGATGAACAGAGGATGGCGTGGAAGCTCGCAGTGATGAGGGAGAAGAAGAGAAGAGTGGAAGCGGCGAATGCAGCAATGCAAGAACTAGCGGAGGTGAGGACTGCCTCAACAACACAATTGACTCCGCAAGTAGATCTCCAACGCAAAGTGGAGATCATCGCCCAGAGCGTTGACCGGTTAGCTAAAGTGCAAGAAAAGCACTATGAGTTTAGTCGCAGCCAGGAGATATCCGCGCGTTCGATGCGAACCGGATTACGGGATTTTGCTCGCGAACTAGTAGGCGTTGTGGGATCCGAGGTGAGTCATCGCCTCGAGAAGACTGAGCGTTTTTGTGTTGGCGCCATCGAAGGCGTCAAGGTGGCCGCTCCCAAGGAGGAGGAGGCCCGTCCTCGCAGGGAGCCAGTCAAAGTCAAATTCCCTGATTCCTATAGTGGGAAAAGGGAAGAGAACTTTGACAATTGGGAGGCCAATGTTAAGACCTATGTGCATTTGCAATAGGTCTCCCCGGATCAGCAGGTCTTAATTGCGATCCATGCACTTAGAGACGAGGCCGCCAGTTTCGCGAGATCCCTTGTTCGT